CTATAAATTTAACTTTGAGTTAAAGTTAGTTATAAAGTCCTTTCCAGCATTTATATTTTGTGATTTGCCAATGAGGTGGTTTTTTTTTTTTTTTTTTTTCCTAGAAGTTAGACTAGGTACTGGGTAGATAAAAGTATGGAGAAACCAACCTCATTTCAGAGAGCCTAGTATGGACTTCTAGGTATATGAATTAAGGTTTAGCAAAAATGTGAAGCTATTGAATTTGATGGGGGTAAAAATTTATATTCTCTTTAGGAGAAGGATGAAGAGATTTTGATAATGAGAAAAGTTGCAAACATGAGTGGTACCCCAGGAACTTGATCTGTATGAATCGAAGAGATTTCTTCTACTGAAAGAACAGAGGGGTGGCACAGGAGACTCTGTCCACACCTGCAAATCCTAAAAAGGTTGTGCTGTAGAAAGATCAGTTTTCATTTTCCAGAAAGTAAAACAGAAGAGATTCCCAAATAGGGACCAGCATATGGCATTATGGTTACGTCGCTGGACTCCCACATAGTTCAAGTCTCGGGCCCGGTGACTTAAAACACATGCTGGATGCGTGTGCATGCATGCCCAAAATCCCAAGAGGAGAATGGAGGAGAAGGGATTGTGGTGTGGCCATTGTGGTGTGGGTGTTGATTTCTTGCTGTATGTCTCTCTGTCTCTCCAGTGAGTGCACAAGAACCCTATAGCAAAAATGTCTCTCTCTAAAAAAAGAGATCCCCAAATAAATAGAAGACATTAAGGGTGAATCGTTAGATGCATTTTAATATTTTATGTAATCAACTATAGTAATGGTGTTTGCTCTAATGCCACATTGAGAAATCAGAACAATTTTTATTATCATTATTTTAGTTGATTACCCTACAATACATTTTGTGGAACATTTTTATTTTATTCACCTCAGTTCAATCTCATGCAATTCCAGTGGCTTCATGGATTTCAGTACACAGGGCCCTCAGGTTGTAGACATTCCAACCTTGAGTGATTCTATTTAACTCCCTTTCAACAAATCTATTTGCCCGAAGAAAAACAATAAAGAACCTCCTTCAAGCAGCAAACCGTTATTAAAGTGATAGTGCAATCTCTGACTAGTGGATTCTGTGTTGGTGCTGAAATGTGTGGTTAACTCTCACTCTTCACTCCTGGTCTCAGTAGAAAGGGGAAGTTTAGTGGAGTTGTAATTTAGCACTGTAGGTTGTAAGCTGCTGCTAATGACCGTCATGCTTCTGGAAGATGATTTTCTTTCTTTCTCCCCTTTCTTTTTTTTTATTTTTCCTGTTTTTCTTTCTTTCTTTTTTTTTTTTTTAAGTTTTGCTATAGGGCACATGTGCTCACCCAAGAGAGAAAGAGAGAGAGAGAGAGAAAAAGAGAGAGAGAGAGAGAGAGAGAGAGAGAGAGAGAGAGAGAAGGAAACTGAGAAATAGCCCCCAGAGAGGTTGGCCACACTGAATTTCTTTCTCCTTTAGTCTTCTTTCAGGATTTTGGGCACACATGCATACACACCTGTCTTGTTTTTTTCTCAAGACACTAGGTCTGGGACTCGAACTGTGAAGTCAGCCAAGTGGAATCCAGTCACCTGTAACCACTTTGCCACCACCAACTGACTTAGATCTTTTTCATTTTATCTTTAGCATTTTGTAGCAAGCTGTAAGCAAGATTTTTTTTTTATTATTTAAATTTTTATAAATTCCTGGATACTTTAGGTAGTGAAAGAGGTTTTTCACACAGTGCTGAAGAGAAAGATTATCTAAATTCTACAGGGTATTCATTCTCCCCTTAACCTCCTCTTCTCCTTTCCTCTTGCTTTTAATTCAAGTTAGAGCCCTGCAAGTCTCACAACTGTACCCAAGTAGCATAATCTGTATGTACCTTCTTTAAATCATGCACATGTGTATTTATAAGAGGCTGATTGAGGAGAACAAAAAGGCAAGAGGGAAAACTTGGTTCTTTGAGGGCTACTTGGAAAACCAGTTTGGAAAGTTTGTCTCCCTATCTCAGCAGTTGCTATACCAAGGTGGGTGATCATGGATAAGGGGATTGCTGCTTCCAACTTGCAAACAGCCCTCCAACATTGTACCTTTCAGGAAAGTTAGGGTTGACTCTGTTACTGTGACTGACTCAGTTATAAATATGTTTTGAGATCTTTGTAGCCATAATATGTACATTTTTAAAAATTATCTGGCAGATTCCTGTGTGTTTTAACATGGGCAGACCTGACATCATGTTGGTGTCTAGGATGAAGCTGTTTTCTGTTGAAGAGTAAGGACTAAGTGTAAGGGTATGGTAGAGATAGAGCTGAACATTTTAGTGAAAATATGAAAGAAAAACAAAGACAAAACCAAAAGCAGACATGGATTTTTGTTCTTCCCATGCCCTCATTCTTCACATAAAAGACAGTAGCTAGAAGTTGTGGTTTGGAGTAGACACCCTGATCTTTTTCTTCTCCCAGGATACTTCCCTCAATTCCCTATGCATTCTCATCCTTCTCATGATGGTTCCCCCCCACAAATGGAAATAAAGTGGCATATGCTTTCTGATCACGGAAAGGATACAGTTTTGTGATTGTGGCAATAGTAGAACACCTAAAACACATCTTTCCTTAGGAGTAGCAGGCTCTCAAAGTGGGCAGAGCTCCCCCTGTGTTTTCAGTAAAAGGAGCTGCTCCTTTCCTTTTTGAGAAACATTAAGAGTCAGTCAAAGCCTGCTGCCATGGTGCTGGATAGGCACAACCATGAACATGACCCCAGGGCAGCTATATGATGGCAAAAAAAGGAGACTCAGTCTAGGGATCCCCACTCTGTGCAGAAGGGGAGGCTTGGGGTAACAGCATAAACATCACCATTGATTTTTCTAAAAAATTAAGAAGGGCAGTGCCTTCTTGACTGATACATACCCTATGGAGAAAGAATGACTTTGTCTGGTAAGCGCCCCTGGGAGAGTTAGATCCTGACCAGCCTGAGATGACCTCACCCTGTTATTTGGGGGGTTGAACTTGATGGCACTCAGGAAAGGCTGAAACAACTGCAACACAGTTCCTACGTGGTGGAGTAGGTTAACTGCCAGGAAAAGCAGAAGCAAAACCTTAGAGAATACTTTTCAACCCCAAATTTAGGAATACTAGGGAGTTCTCCTACACTGGGAACATGCCATCCTCCCTCTCCACCCCCTTGCAACAGATAACGTCCTTCAAGAGGAACTGGTGAATGAAACAGTGTATTTTTATTCTGTGATGACGGGTGTCAGGCAGGCACTACTGGGAAAGAATTACCTTGGACATACCACACACTTGGTTTGGCTTGTCCCATACCTGTGCTTTCGTCATGGCTGATTACCCACTTACATCAGATAGGAAGCAAGCAGTCTGCACTGTGGCATGAGATGAAAGGTATTTTAATATCCTCAGGTCACATATTATCTTGACCAATAGTACTTTTATATCATTTTCTTAAAGGAAACTACACTCTTTTCTTCATTGGAGTTTTTTTCCAATGGGGAGAAAAATGTCATATGACAGCTAATTTTACATATAACTCTAACATGGAAGACATCATTGAACCTCCTCCTCCCCAGACAGACAGTATCTTTGTTTCTTTCAAAATGCAAATGACGAGAAATGGTTTGAAAGATCCTCAAAGTTCTAATGACTCTAGTTTTCTTTGACGGTGGAGAATTTTTTTTTCCAGCTTCTGTGAGATTTTCCTTTCCACGTAAAACAATATAAACAAATAGCAAGAAAAAAAAGAAAAAAGAAAAAGTGAAACATTTCATTTTTCCTCTTATCTTAAGAACCTTAAGGGCTAAACCGATGGTTTTGGTTTCCTGACTGGCAGCTTGGTTCGCCTTCTCTAAGCCGGCTGGGCTGTGCAAGTCACCAGAGGAAACATTTGCAGAGGATTTTTCTCCCACAGGAGAGAATTTCATCCACACAGCCCACAGACTTGGATGGCAAACATCATGGTCTGAGAGTCTGGTGGTTTTACAAAAGTGGCGGTGTAGTCTATTTTTCATTTCACAGGTGCATAACGTTCATTCTACCTCAGGAACAAGAAATCTTTTTTATATTTTTTATTTTAAAGAGGGTGGCTGAAACACTGAATATATCTATGAGAATCCTGGGCCATAGGGGAGGTTTTAATTGCTAAATGAGGGAAGAGGGGGTGAAAAGCAGGATTAAAACTTCCAAAGCCCTTCCAAATGACCTTTCTGTACAGAAGTCTGGTGTACACAGAAGTACTGTGTAATCTGGCCTGTATTTTTCTCTCACTGTGAAACATATTGAAATACTTTATGTTTAGGTGTGTGTATAGAAATTCATGAAGTTCTTTTATGCACTTACTTAGTTCCAACACAATTCTTATTTTAGGACGTCATGAAAGACAGTTTTGTAAGACCAGATTCGGCCCCAGCTTGTACATTTGGGTTTTTTCTTTCCTATCTACAGACACCTGATCACTCTCCCTGTGCAAAAGGGCACCGGTACACATCATTTTTTCCAAGTGCTCAAACCTGGAAACATATTTTTTAAAGGATTCGCAGAAGCTGTCTTGGGGGTTTGAAAAACATGCAAAATTGTTAGCAGACCTTTTGACTGTGCTATTTTTAGGAAGCTAATTGTGTTCTTTCAAAGTACATTTTTGACAATGGGACAGTTTTCCTTGCCCCCACTGACATGTGAAATATTTACAGTGAAAACGTTAGTTAAATGCCTCAAACAGATACATTTTAACTTCAGCCATGGTCAGCCACAGGGAAAAAAGTGATTTAGAAAGAGGAAAGGTTTTTGTAATATTTATGTTGCTGTTTCTGCCCAAAAGGAGTTTTTATTTTACCGTTCAAACAGAAGTTTGTTTTCAGACCAGTTGCTAGTTCAACAAGTAGCTACTCAGACACCCACAACACTCAGCGCTAAACATATTGTACGCGCGCGCTGACCAGACGGGCTTACTCCGCCACAGCAAACCCGGGTAGGTCGGCTGCCTGCAGAAGTGTTACCTTACCTTGAGCACGTAAGATCTGGGCGAGAGGCTCGCGGGCTCCCACGGAGAGGACCAGGGGAGTGCTCTGATCCGCTGCTGGTAACATGCACTTGGCTTTTATGGGCAGGTGGGAGGAGCTGTCCTTCACAGTAGGTGGGCAGAGCAGGAGCGGCGGGCGGGCAGCCCCGGGAGGAGCTGGACACGCTCCCCTGGGGAGGGGCGGAGAGGGCAGAGCTGCGAGCCGGCAAGAGGAAGGAGACTGGGGGGGAGGCAACGGTGGAGGAAGGAGTGGAAACGAGAGAGAGGGAGGGAGACAGGAAGAAAAAAAGAAAACGAGAAAATTAGAGTAAGGGATCCGGCTCATAGATGGGGAGAGGCTGCGAAGAAGATGAATAGGAGAGAGAGAGAGAGAGAGAGAGAGAGAGAGAGAGAGAGAGAGAGAGAGAGAGAGAGAGAGAGAGAGAGAATCAAGATCTGGAAGGAAGGGGAATGACATTTTTTCCATTTATGCACATTTTTGGAGGGGGAGCCGTGCGTGACTAAAGGTGCTTTCTGTGACTTTGAAAAGCTAAATAAGGGTTCGGGAGAACTGAAGCGTTCATAAGTGAGGCATAGGAGGGGCTTCCCGGTGGCAAAGCCAAAAGGCGGGGACCCAGACCTGGAGCCAGAGGAGACCCACACAGCTCTGCAGTTCCCGCGGGCTGGGAAAAACCCAACTCCATCCCTCATCGGCCCTGGCAGTGCCCACTTGACTAGAAAGTTCCGGCTGTCTCTAGCGTGCAGCATCTGAGACCCTCATTTCTGCAGCAGTCGGTAAACTCAGCCAAGGTGGGGAGATCGGTGGAGATTGGCTGGTGGAGAAAGGAACCTTAGAACCAGTCTGGGTCTTCCAACCTCTGCTTATGTAACATAGGATTCCAGGGCTTTCTGCCTCTGGTTATTTTCCTTATTTAAAAATCTCTTCTTCTTAACAATTGGAAGTTGTCTAGGTGCCACTGCTCCCTCTTGATGTGTCTTAAACATTAAGAGAATCTGTGACCAACACACAGTTGAAGGATCAGGCTGAATTATTAAGAAATGCATTCAGAGAAAGAAAAACAAGCTCCTTTCGCTTCTGAGTGGTGACTCACTTCCCAGTAGTCCAAGCTTGATTTTTGCCACCAAAGGCATTAAAGCACTTTGGAAGAGCCTGAGATTTGAGGTGGGGGTTACTGAGAGGGGGACCAGAGGGGCAGGGGGTGGGCCATGAGCTGGGAAGAACAAGGGAGCTAACTTTCCCAAATGTTTTCAAAAACCCTCTTCAGTGCTAATCATAACTTCATGTGGTAGGTATGATCCACTTTGTGCAAGATTTTTATTTTGATTTTTATTTTGATTTTTGAAGAAAGGAATCTCAAAAGGGTTAAGCAACTAGCTGAAGCTAACAAGAGAGGGAACCACAGCTAGGGAGCCTGCACTCTTCTCCTCAGAGTATCAGCGCAGCAGAAAACAGTGCATATGCACTGAACACCCCCGCTGGTCTCAGGTTAGCTCTTGATGTGGTAGTGCCCTCTGCAAGAGGGGAAAATGAGGATGAAGGACAGGGTTTTTCAAATTTGGTGCTCTTCACATTTTGACCGGGATAATTCTTTGTTGTAGGGACCTCTCCTGAGCATTGGAGAATGTTGAGCAGCATCCCTGGCCTCTGCCCACCAGATGCCAGGAGCACCACCCACCCAGCACCCCTCCCCTCCCCCTCCCCAGCTGTGAAAATAAAAAATGTCTCTAGCCTTAGCCAAATGTCTGTGAGGGGCAAAATCCCCTCCTTCCCTTAAAAACCAGTGGTCTAGAAAAGGCCCACAACTGTAAAAAAGGATTTTAAAAGAATCTATTAAGAAAATACCCAATAGTACTATTTGGATAATAATAATACTTACCGCCATATGTGCTAAGTTTACACTGGACTCAGGTTTTCCCATCTGTCTGCCTCTGGAGCACAAAGCCCCAACTACTTCCTTTACAACTGAGCTGATTTTCAATGGAATCTATGTAGGAGTCAAGGAAGTGGTACCCATGTACCCGGGATATAAAGGAAGATGAATGTTACAGAAAAGAGGAGAAGTGAAGGTTTTTATCATACACACAAATTTCGCATTAGTTACTGAAATTTTCACTCTTTGTCTTAATATGTATAATTTCCTATGCCTATGGACCAAATTTAAATTATATTTGGTAAATTTTTGTCTACAAAACTAGTGATTCACAGTCTTTTTTTTAAAAAAAATATTTTATTCAACTTTATTTATTTAAATTTGACCAGAGAGAAAGAAAGAGGGCAAGCGAGAAAGGAAGCCACGAGGTCTGGGACCCAAACCATGGTCAGCCATGTGGGAGTCCAGCGCCCTTAACCACCGCACCACCTGAGCCACGGTGGGTGTTTCAAAGGCCGCCATCCCCAGCCTGTGAGCCCCGCACTGCCTCTCATGGGAGCCTGTGCCCGCCCTCTGTGCAGCTTTTTCCCTCTGTCTCATAACCATGCCCACTAATGAGAATGCAAATTCACCAGTTGCCTGTTTTAGCAGATTCAAGAACAAGGGAAAAGATAGTACAGAAATGAGATGGGGCAGAATAGAAGTTAGTGTGGAGCTGAGGAAAGCTAAGAAGGATGACCAGATGCTAAAGAGGAAAAATGTAAGCTCAGTTCCCGATGATGCTGCTTCTCCACTGCAGGCAAACCGCAACAACCAGGGCACTGTAAATTGGTCCTTTGATGACAATGTCAAAGGCATAAATGGCAACAATTTGGAAGGCGGCTTCAAGCTTCTCAAGCTGCTAGGAAGCTGCTTTCTATGGAAAACAGCTCTCCATAGACAACATCATCGGGGCTGGGTTGATTACAAAATTTGTGTCCTTTTTAGGCAGAAATGACCGTAGTCCTATCCAATTTGAATCTGGGCGGGCACTGGGACGTCAGAACTGACTAGGGCTTTGGTGGACGGAGGCACTATCCCAGCGTTCATTTCTTTGTTGGCCTCTCCCCACGCGCACAGCAGTGAGCAAGCTGTGTGGGCTCTAGGAAACACCGCAGGAGATGGTTCAGTTTTCCGGGGTCTGGTTATCAAGTATGGAGCACTTCACCTGCTGTTGGCTCTCCTTGCAGTTCCTGATATGTCATCGTTAGGATGTGGTTATTTATGTAACCTTATGGGGACACTTTCAAACCTTTGCTGCAACAAGAATCCCGCACCCCACTAGATGCCGTTGAGCAGATTATTCCTACTTTAATTCATCTTCTGCATCATGATGTTCCCGAAGTATTAGCGGATACCTGCTGGGCTATTTCCTATCTTATTGATGGTCCAAATGAATGGAATGAAAGGACTACAAAAACTGAAGTTGTCCCCCAATTTGTGAAGCTTCCAGGAGTTACTGAATTGCCCACTGTGACTTCCACACTCAGAACCATAGGTCCTATTGTCAATGGGACCGATGAACAGAGCCAGGTTGTGATCGATGCTGGAGCACTTGCCGTCTTCCCCAGTCTGCTAGCTAACCCCCAAACAAATATTCAGAAAGAAGTTCCACAGTGTCCAACACCACAGCTGGCTGACAGGACCAGACACAGCAGGCCGTGAATCTTGAGTTAGTCCCATTCCTTGTCGGCGTTCTCTCCAAGGCTGACTTTAAGACACAAAAGGAGGTCGTATAGGCTGTGAACAACTCCAAAGTGTCGGAAAAGTTGAGCAGATTGTATACCTCATCCACTGTGGCATAATAGAACTGTTCTGTTGATGGACATCTTAACTGCAAAAGCTACCAAAATTATTCTGGTTATCTTGGGTGCCATTTTAAATATCTTTCAGACTACTGAGAAGCTAGGAGAAACTGAGAAACTTTAGTATAATGATTGAAGGATGTGGAGTCCTGGATAAAATTGAAGCTCTACAAAACCATGAAAACGAGTCTGTGTACAAGACTTCATTAATGTTGATTGAAAAGCATTTATTTCTCTGTTAAGGAAGAGGAACATCAGAGTGTTGTGCCAGTAACTGTCTCTGACAGATTCACCTTCCAAGTGAAGGATGGGACTCCTGGGGCCTTTAACTTTCAGATCGCACAACTGAGGTAAAAATGTGTGTGTTGCGTGCTATGTGTGGCATATGTTTGTCTTACTGTTTCTCTACTAGGAACTCTTTTCAAGTGTAGTTGTTATCATAGCACTATGTACAATGACACTATACTTGAACAGTTCCAAACTGTACGTACTGTATGAAGCCTGTCCTCTGAACGAGTTCCTTATTTCTGTGTGGAATTTCATACCTTGCAGCATTCTGCAGATAAAATTAAATTTCATTCTTTTCTTTACAAATGAAACAAAACAAAACAAAGCAAAAAACAAATGAAATGAAACAACAAAAAACGAACTAGTGTTTACTACCTACAGAAAAGAAGTACTCAAGACAGCCAGGTGGTGTGATGGGTAAGGCAGTTGAACCCCACATGGCCAGTTCTAGTCCCGGTCCTGCAGCTTGAAAAACACACTAAGCACATGTGCCTATGTGAATGCCAGACTCCCGAAGAGAGAATAGAGGAGGATTGCAGTGTGATCTTTCCCCAGGGGGGATGCTTTCTCACTTTCTTTCTGTTTCTCTCCAGTGAGCACACATACCCTAAAGCAAATTTTAAAAAGTACTCAATAAATACATACAAGATGACTAAATAAATAGCACTGCTGAGCACTGACACATAGAGAATGGCCAGTGTATATAAGTTTAATGGAAGAATAAAATAATTCATTAAACTAGATAGCTAGATTTTCTTATCAATTTTCCTGCCCCTTTGCTATCTTGTTTACTCTTCCCCTACTCTGAATATTCAGTTTTCTCCTCCCAATTAGTATGTCTTTTAAGGCTGTAGCCAAATTCATTAAATGAAGTCTATGAAATGAATAATCCTTGTCATAGGACCTAGAAATAAGATTATCTTATGTATTTGGGGGTTGCATTCTGAAATCAGATGTGATTTTGCAGGCAGGGTACCACTTCTAGAACTTTAACAAATAAATGAGTTTTGGGTCGACTAAAGAAGACTCAGTTAGAGGTGGGTCTGCATGATAAAACACATTACTAAATATCCTTATCAGATTACGGCAAATCATCTTTCCAGTTTTGATTTAACATCTCCCAAACATTCCAGTTCCATCACATAGCTGTGAAAATAGAAACAGAAAAGGCAATTGACTGCCATGGGCTGTATTTTTTCCCCTCCTTCACTCCCTTCT